TGTGGAAGAAGAAGTCTTCCGATGTGATGCGCTTCATTCAGCGCGTGCGCGCGTGGGAGTTCCGCCACCAGCACACCGTTGTTCGCCTGCGCCGGCCGACGCGCCCGGAGAAGGCCCGCATGCTTGGCTACAAGACGAAGCAGGGGTACTCGGTGTTTCGCGTGCGCGTGCGCCGTGGCGGGCGCAAGCGCCCGGTGCACAAGGGCATCACATACGGCAAGCCCAAAACGAGCGGCGTGTTGGGGGTGAAGCTCAACAAGAACAACCGCGCCATCGCGGAGCAGCGGCTGGGCAGGAGGTACGGCAACCTCCGCGTGCTGAACTCGTACTGGGTGAACGCCGACTCCACCTTCCTCTGGTACGAGGTGGTGGCGGTGGACCCGATGCACCGCACGATCCGCCGCGACCCACGCATCAACTGGATCGTGAACGCAGTGCACAAGCACCGGGAGCAGCGCGGCCTCACGTCGGCCGGCCGCAAGCACCGCGGCCTCCGCCACAAGGGCCACAAGGCCTCGAAGCTACGCCCGTCCGTCCGTGCCGCATGGCGCCGCAACAACCGCATGGTGTTCCTGCGCAAGCGTTAGCGTCGCTTTTGGTTTCCTGTGTGTCTTCTTACGCCACTCTATTTTATTTTATTTTGTGTTTTGTTTTTCTCTTTGTTTTTTTTTAAACTCAAGGAGTAACAGAAACATTTTATTTACTTTTTTTTCTCCTTGTCTCGCATGCGTTTCGTGCGGCTTTGGTTTTACTCCTCATACAGTGTGGTCTGATGTTTGTGCCCAAGGCCAAGTTCTGTTGAAGGCACCTTTTTTTTTCTTCTTCTTCTTTTTTTTTCTTCCTATGTGCGTGTGTGGTCCTCCTAATTTGGCTCTCCGTGGGTGGAAGACTCCTGTAGCAGGTAGCTGTTTATTATTATTATTATTATTTTGTTCTTGGAGGAGGGGTATTCAATGCCTGTTGAACCTGAGGTGTTGCCACAACCCTTGCGCTTGCCGCCCGACGAGGCGCTTGACGTCATCTGGGGTCTTGTTCGTTACATCCTCATATTTCTGGTTGTCGTTTTCGGTGTCGTTCCTGCCCTCTGCGGCACGGTGTTTCCGCCCTTTTCTGCCCTCTGGGATGTGCTGTCAGGAATTTCGCCTTACGCGTGGGGGTCAGTGGGGGTGGGCATCGGCATCGCCCTCTCCATCATTGGCGCCGCCTGGGGAATCTTGACGACGGCAGCCTCCATCAGCGGGGCAGCTATCCGCGCGCCGGAGATACGCAGCAAGAATCTAATCTCAATTATTTTTTGTGAGGCCGTGGCTATCTATGGTGTTATCTTGTCGATTATCATGATGGGCAAACTCGAGGCACGCGCCAATGCAATTGATGAAGCTGGAAAGTACTCTTATAAAGCTGCTGCGGCTGGCTTTACTCTCTTTGCTGCGGGGCTGGCGGTGGGGATAGGGAACATGTCGTGTGGTGTTGCGGTTGGGGTGGTCGGGAGCAGCTGCGCTATTGCGGACGCACATAGCAGTTCCCTCTTTGTGAAGGTCCTGGTGATTGAGATCTTTGCCTCTGCCCTGGGGATCTTTGCCGTGATTGTAGGAATCTTGATGTCCCAAAAGGCGGTGATGGTGTAGGCCGGCAGGAAGCGCGGTGGCGCCTGTTATGCAGGCCGCAGCCGGAATAGAAGATCGAAGGAGGCAAAGGGATGAGAGGACTAGATAAGGAGAGGAAAATGGAGAATGAAATGCGCAAAAAAAAAGTATGGCATACATATTTATATAACTAGTGTTTTTGTTTTTGTTGTTTTGCTTCGCCTTGTTGCATCTCTTCGATCGTGGTGTGCTGCGCAGTGCCCAAGTTTTATTATTTATTTATTTTTCTCTTCCCTCCGTGAAAGGCTTTAGGCGGCGGCAGCGTGGGCAGGGGGGGACGGTTTGTGCTGGAGGTGGGATGGCGACTTCGCAGCTTGTCGTGACGCGCTACATGGACCTGCTAGGCGAGGGAAACGTTGAGGCCGCGCTCAACTACTTGGCGGACGACGTGGTGTACAACACGTGGATGGGGGTTGTGTACGGGAAAGACAACGTGACTGTGTTCCTCCGCGACAATGTGCGGTTTGTCCACCACGGTCGAAACTACAACCGCTGGAGGCAGGTGCAGCACTCGCTCGACCCCGCGCTTAGGCAATACGACCGGGCCGACGGCGTTACCAGCGGCGTCTCACCTCAGTCGTCCGTGCACTATGGGGATCCGGCGGTGCGGCGGTACTTCAATGTGGACGGCTACGATTCTCAAGGGTACGCGACGTTCGAAAGGGATGGAACACTTGCGTCTCACGCAAAATTCGCCGCGTTTAACGTCAAGATAAAAGAAACGGTTGTGCTGCGAAACAACAAGGTTGTGCTGGTGAATGTTTCTAAGCGCGTGTGAGTCGATCGTCGGTGTTAGTGTTGTCTTTTGAGCTCCACTTGGTGTTGCGGGGGCGAAGTTGGTGTTGAGGGCAGAGCTGCGTCCTGATGGAACGCCCTGTACCGTGGGGTCTGAATTTCCATCTTTTATTTTTATTTTTCTTGTTCATTCTTTTTCTTCTTCTTTGCTGCCTCGCCTTTTTGTGGTCTCTCTTTGCCGCTTACATTTTGGTCCCGTCTGCATCGGCGGGCGGCGTAGTTTCCGTCATTCACTGAAGCGTCACGATGCGACCCAACAGGGTTGGGCGAAGGAAGGAGCTGGAGTTCGCCGTGGCCCTCCGTCAAAAGGAGCTGGAGGACCTGCGACAGCGCAAGGCAGAGCTGGAGCAGGGGCTGTGCCTGACGCCCGACGCGCTGGCGACGGACGGCCTCTACGCCGTCTTTCCCGTCCTTGAGTACTGCGGGGCCAAGCCGCGGAAGGACGTGCGTTCCATCCCCATCGAACACGTCGGGAGCGTGCTGACGCAGTTTGAGGTGGCGTCCAAGGCCCTTTCGGACCGCAACCAGGCACTGAGGCATGAGGTGAGGGAGCTCAACCGCCGCATCAAGGCGGAGGGAAAGAGCTGCGCCAAGGTGCGGGAAAACACCACGCAGCTCGAGCACACCACCGGTGTGACGGCAAAGCCTGGGAACCACGCAAACGGAAGCAAGCCACTCGTGCTGCAAAACGACACGGAGGTGACGCTGCAAGAATTGGAGTCGAGAAAGGCACTCATTGCAAAGGAAATCAGGACAGGGGAACTTCTCGTCAAGAAAAAGGAACTGTCCTTGGTTGAGATGGCAAGTATCTCACAACAGCGTCAGGCGGTACTGGATGAAATTGATGCCTTGAATAATGACATCCGCGTTACCGATCGGGATTTAAAGTGTGAGAAGGAGACACTGCAGGCCCTGATCGCAGAGCACGACGACGTTGACGCCAGATTGCAGAAGGCCCTGGCCGCCCGGGAGTCCACCCTTCTCCTTACGTCTCAAGAGGGCGTTGCGGAACTAAAGAGTGAGATTCATGGCACGGTGGCGGATACTCGCCAGCGACAAGAACGTGTCATCAAGACGCAGAACTACCGCATTGAGCAGCTGGAGCATCGTCTGGAATGCATTGAAACGGCCCTCAAGAACAATCACTTCACACGTGCTGTGGATGCGGCACTGTCAAGGAGCTGGGCGTCTAAAGGTGAATTGATGACGCTTGCTAACGAGGAGGATATGTACGATGCCGACAAAATCAATCCCACGCAGGAACGGTGCCATCCAGCCATCTACAATCTTTTCGCCACCGAGAGGGATAGGCTGTCGAGGTACATCAGCTTGCTTGAACTGGTTGGAGGTGAGAAGGAGGCTGTCATTGTCGCGCTTAGATGTAAGGCCCAGGCATTGTCCGAGGAGTGCCAGGACGCCATTGAGGAATTGGATCAGGTTACTTCAGATGCTGCATACGAGGAGGAAAACCAACGCATTAAAGCGATAGAGTATGTGGAGGAGCAGCGTATGCGCTACGCTGATTTGTTCCTTGAAAAAAGCAAACTGAAGTCGCTCACGCTTGCCACGCCGCGGGGGCAGAGGAGAGCCATCAAGTAGTTAGGGGAGCGGGAGAAGACAGTAACTGCATTCCGTGAATACCGCAGCAGCAATAATACAAAAAAAAAGATGGTTTGGGCGTGGGACGGATTCATCGTGTCATTTTATCTGAATCCAGCAAAGGACGCTAGCGGCAAGCCCGAGAAGAGTAAAAAAATATATATATGCGATCAGGCAAATAAAGTATACAGACGAACGGAACCAAAAAAAAAAAGGAAAAGGGGAAAAAAAAGTAAGGGAGAGAAGGGGGAAAACGGTTGCTCGGCTCATTGTAGTGTTACAAAAAGCAGGAAGTGGGGGAAGGCGTGGTTTGGACGGGTTCTTTTTCAAATTCCAAGTGACCGTTCTGTTTCATCGAGATGTACATAAACAGACGTAAATATTGCACGGGAGGAATGCCTTTTGCATTCTGCGTGTGCGTGGGGAGGGGGGAGGCGTGTGGACGAAGGGCGCGACGCGAGCTTTTTATTTATTTATTTGTTTTTTTCATGCTTTCTCTGTGGTTTCTCCCTTTGCCGCTAGGAGAAGGGTTTGGAGGAGGGGGACGAGAGCAAGTAACGGAAACAAACAAACAAAAAAAGAGGCAAATAAAACCAAAAAGACGCGAAAAAGGGGGGGAAGGCAAGGCGAGGCCAACACGCAGAAGAAAACAAACACCAACAAAAAGAAAAAGTGGCAATACTTAAAAAATGAAGGAAGCCATGTCAACAGAGACGACGCCACTGAGTAACGAGGGCACGAGTTTTCATCATCGCATTGAGGATGCGGTTAACATGGTGTGGAACAACCAATACTCCGAGGCGGAGAAAATCCTTGCCCCCTACAAGGAATTTCACCCACGTTACGCCCTTGAGTATGCCAACAAGTATCTTGTTCAAACACTCATGAACTCCACGAATGAGAGCAGGGAGGTGATTCTTGGTTTGTTTAAGGTGGCAGATTCGTTGGCTTCAACCGCAAAGTATACAGAGCCGATGTTTGACTTTGACGACGAAATGGATGAGCTGGATGGGCCTGGGGCGTCCATGAGCCTGCCTAGCAAGGCAGAGCGTAAAAGTTGCAAAAAAAGCTTTAATGATCGTAGAAAGGCGGCCGAAAAGGCTGGCCAAGCCTTCGTCGATGTTTGGAAGTTGGAGTGTGAAGTGATTTATGCGGATGCCTTGTTGATGCGTTCTGTGTGCCAGCTGATGATGAATTCCTACTTAAAGGGTGGCATTAATTTGCGCCGAACATGGGGCATTTATCATAAATTAATTAATGTTGTTGCGGCGGACAAAACCAATCAAATTCCTGACGAACTGAAGATGTGCGTGAAGTACGGCACCGGAACGTTTTACGCGTTTCTCGCCCTCGTACCGGCCAATTTGATGCGGCTGCTTAACGTGATTGGCTTTATCTCCGACAGGGAGCTTGGCGAGCAGTACCTGACGGAGGTGTTTGAGAGCAACGGGGTGCGTGCTCCGTTTGCGGCGCTGGTCTTGTGTACGTTGTACCTTTTCCTTCCAACTGGTATTGGCCGCGTAGAGGAGACGCTTGCCAAAGCTAAGCGTATCTTGGATGTAATGAATCAAAAATACGAGCAAAACACATATTTCAACGGCTACTCCAACTTTTATCACAGGAAACGTGGTGAGACGGCGGAGGCTTTGGCTGCTATTCAGCGGGCCGAAGCAAATGCTGAAAGGGCCGGAATGGTGCCAATTTTGATCCGTTATTTACATGCCGACACACTTTTTATGGATCTTCGCTTCGCAGAGGCGAAGGAATGCTACGCGGCGGTGCTTAGCCACCTCGCCAAAACGAAGGAGAGCTTTGCGTACACGGGACAAGTGGTTTTGTCACTTGCTGCTTGCTTTGTTATGCTGGGAGAGGATGCGCAGGCACTGCAATGGTTGAAAAAGGTCGGGTCCATGTATAACCCCAGGTCAAAGAATGACGCCAACTCTCCGAAGTTTGCGTCCCGCGTGCTAGCAAACCCCCGTTTACTACCGCTTTGCGGCGTATACATGCTCTACATCAATCGCGATCTTGCGCATATGAAGGTTGAACAGGCGGAGCGTGTCCTGCAGGAGCTGCGGCGAGTGACGACGGGAAAAGATTTGAGTGGCCCCGAGGCAGAGAATATGTTTACCCTGTTTGTGGGAGTCATCCACAAGGGGTGCGACCGTGTTGATGCGGCCTTAGAGGACATGAGTAAAATATTTGCAAATGAAAAGCGTGTGCCAAGTGACTCGATGGTCTTGCCATACGCCTACTATGAAACAGGCGAGTTGGAGTACCGTCGCGGAAATTTTGAGAGGGCAAAGGCCCTCTTCACAAAGGGGCAGTCGCTCAGGGGAGACGGCAACGAAACCTTGGCGAACCGGTACAGCATTGCTCTGAAACAGCTGAAACGCACAATGGATGAGAAGCGAAAGCTGTATTAGGACCCAACAATTTGAGTTGTATATGAGTTGGGTAGACGATGATACACGTACGAGACAAGGCGAGAGAGAAGCGGCGAAGAAAGGGTGTGTGTGGAAGCGGAGACTACTGCGGAGAAGCGCAGGCGAGCTGTACAAGGGTGTCAGTCTGGGGATTGTTGCTGGATCTGTAAGAGGTGGGAACGACCACTAAACTGGGAAACCAATGCACAACGAAGGAAATATATATATATAAAAACGGTAGGAGGCAAATTGTGTTACCGGAGGCGGCTCGGCCTTTTGCCCAAATCTTCTTCTAAAATGCGGATTATACTTCTCTTTTGGCTTGTGTGGCTACCACACAATCGATGCTTTTATGAACAAAGCGAGTGTGTCTCTGTGTGTGTGCATGTGCGTGTGTGCGTGGGTGTTTTTTTCTTTCCCCATTTATAGACGTTGATATTTATATAAATTTGTATAAATCTGTGGGGGAAAAAAAACAATGTGACCGGATGAGGCTAAATAAATGATTGGCTCGTTAAAATTCCATGCTTACGTACCAATAAACTAACCTGCTTCTAACGGCACGGCGTCGGAAGGCAGCGAGTGAAGTTGTTTCTTTTTTTTTTCTCTTGTTTGCCATCCCACTCCACAGCCCCTACTGATACTACTACTGATACACTCGGCGGAGACGGGAATGCGGCGGTGGCGGGCCTCACGAAAGGCTGCTGCTTTGTCATTTGACAGTGAGGTCCCGGTTTGCAGAACTAGATTGAGGGAATTACGTGGCCAACTGGTGTGTGCGAGTGCGGGATGCGTCTTCTTTAGGTGAAGAATACCAGGTATACTGGAAGAGGCTGTGATCATCTGTTGGTTCTGACCTCCACTCGAGAGGAGGAATGGTCAAGGGCTTCTACCTGCCGCATATTCTCTACTTGCGTGAACGGCAAAAGAATAATTTCACGTGATGCTGCGCGTAATGAAGGGGGTAGACTGGAGATTTGTGAATGCCGCTAATTTGCTCTGGTGGGGTGGTGGAGTTACAGTAGTTGTTACGATTGAATCCTTACATAAATGAATGAAATACATATATATATATATATATATATATATATA